AATATGCGATTCAGCTCTGCCTTCGGCTCCAACCCCCTAAATTTCACACCAATGAATCAGAGCTACAATGAGCATCTGAAAGTGTGTGTTCTCTGGACTGCTGTCTCATCTAAGACTCGCCATTTTTTATGCCTTATTCTTCCCAGGAGAATAACAGGCTTATTCATTACACCAGACTTTATCCAAAGAAATTGTACTTACACTACTTGTCGTATTGCAGTTGGAGTGTAAGTCAAACCACGTTGCTGCCTTATTCTATCGATCCTGAAGGACCAGTCTGAAGTTCTGAAGTCATTGAAGTCCATTTCAATATCAAACTGACTGGAATACTGCATTATACCAAACTGCAACAATAAATTGAACTAGGTTGGCATATGATACAAGCAAACATTGTTGACATGCTTGGAATCAAACAGAACCAGAATGAATTCAATGTTTGATTTGCAAAACATTGCATTTGGTACAGTATGTACTTTTTCAGAATGTTACTTTAGCGTACAGTAAGACTATTATTACATATATAGACTGAAGGAATTCAAGATATGATAGATGACATAATTTGTCTTTTTTTATATATAAAAAAACACTGCAGAAAACAGATATTAATAGTATAAGTATCATACTGAATCAGTAGTCTGTAATTAAACTAAAATAAAATAAGGTTTAAGAATATATTCAAAGCATAAATTTATATAGTATCTGGAAAAAGTGAGTTGTGAAACATATAGCAAGTCTTTTCTTACCTGACTATTTCGCCCTAAAAACTGTGTAATTAAATTTTTCATAAATGTCTTCATTTGGTCAAAATCTCTTGGTGAAACACTGCCTGAACCATCTATTAGGAACACAATATCTGTATCTGAAACAGGACAGTCTGTAGAAAAGAGGCAAGAAAAGAGCAGTTAAAGACCATAGATATGAACAAACTATTAATGAACTGTATTCAAGTTCAAAATTTTGATGATTAAACAACTGCAGTCAATATCATTCCTAATGACAAAGTGGCTACATTCAAACATGAGCTTGCCACTAGACTCATGGTGAACTGATTTGGGATAGGATGCCTTATGAATTATATTTAATGCTGATAAAATAATAAAGCAATCAACGGCATAGTCCAAACAAGCTTATATGCGGCAGCATAGGCTGTGATGTATTATTCCAAACCCGTCATTAAAAAATAAAAACCCACACAAATGCACCATTAGACATAAATGGTTACCAATTAGGCAGGTGTCCTGGTCAGGTAGTTCCGTTGGGGACCCCTGACCTAGTGTATGTTGTGTATGTATGAAGTCGGCCTATACGTATGTGGTTGAAAATACGGCACAAATGACATACTGTATTGGTTCAAAAAGGAGCGTTACATGATACACTCAGAGACATGCAATGCATTCAGTGTTGATCAGTTGAAATATATCAAGAAGGCAACTCTGCTTGTCCCACTCTTGCAAAGACACTTTGGAACACAGTAACTCTAAAAGTATTTTATGGAACTTTTTCAAACTTTGCAGACACATTTTATAGGTCTCAATCTGGAAGTGATCAAATTCTGAGACTGGTGTCCCCAAAATTGAAGCAACACTGCAAAATGATGGCAAATATCTAGTTTTATACATTTCTTCCCATTAGCGTAATAACTCAAAAAGTCTTTGACATATCTTATTCAGCAATTGCAGAAAAGTTATAAGGATGAAAATTTTAACCTGTTCACATTTTAAAACAAGTTACACCAAAACTGAAGTAGTGTTACTGTGTGAGAGAGTTTGGTGTGGCGGCTGTGATCACTGTGGGGCATTTGCTTAGAATTCTAACAAAGACTCCAAAACTTTTGCAACTAAGTTCACCCCTTTTGTCTACTGAAACTGCTTCTTCAGCACCTGTTTCCAGGGGACATTGATTATATTAACCAATTCCTTTAGGATGATAACTATACAGGGATGGCAACTGGATGGAAGTATTGATTAGACTGTGCATAATCTGTTCGGTATTGATTAGAAATTGGCACAAGTCCTGGGGTTTTCCTATGTGGGGGTACCTGTAGTCAGTAGAGGACATTTGTAGATTAAAAAACTGAAATCTATTTGAAAACAATTTACCATCCATTACCACTCTTTATTATTGTCCTTTTTAACAGCCGCTTAGTGATAACAAAAAGAAGGGCCACTTAGGCAGTTGATCTTGTCAGTATGCTAACTCAAAGATTGTCTGAGCTACACTTTAGACCTGTCTAATTTTTGAGACAGTATTTTTCAAATTGCACTAGTAACAGCAAATAGTGAATGAAATATGAGCTTTAACCTTGTGAACAGGGCAACTCTTTTTATGCTATTACTCACTTTATTCAATTTGAGCTTTGATGGATCTTATTACCAATTCACAAAAACATTCTACAGATGAAAACCTACATCTGACTATAGATTATATAGTCTGAATATAGACTGATTATAGACCCCAAGTCTGAAAAATGGTCCGCACAACATCAAAAAAGAGGTTTTTCATACATTGGGAGGACATTTGGTCCCCGCAATGTAATAAACCTAATCCACACACACACACACAGGCCCCATTGTGATTTTCTTCTGACATCACTTACTACTACCTAGATCTGTGGTATCAAAACTTTTTTTCACAGAGCCCCCATAGGGCTGATATATTTGCCCTGACCCCCTCCACACACACGCACCATCCTAAAAAAAAAAATAATAAATTAAATTTAATAAAATGTATGTATTTTAGGGCTCTCAAAATTAATGGTTTAACGCGGATTAATCCATCATCATAATTAATCTGATTAAAAATTTTTATGCAATTCTGTGATTAATCTGATTAAAAATTTTAATCGTTTGACAGCACTAATTTATTCACAGTTTTGCATCATATAATGTGTACAGGCATGTAATTTATTCACATTATTTTTTATACTTCTAAAGGTTTCAGTTTCGAAACAGGTCTGCCCCCATGCAGTTCTGTTTTTTTCCTGCACCCACACCCCCTCCTGCAATTGCTCTNACATCAAAAAAGAGGTTTTTCATACATTGGGAGGACATTTGGTCCCCGCAATGTAATAAACCTAATCCACACACACACAGGCCCCATTGTGATTTTCTTGTGACATCACTTACTACTACCTAGATCTGTGGTATCAAAACTTTTTTTCACAGAGCCCCCGTAGGGCTGATATATTTTCCCTGACCCCCTCCACACACACGCACCATCCTAAAAAAAAAATTAATAAATTAAATTTAATAAAATGTATGTATTTTAGGGCTGTCAAAATTAATGGGTTAACGCAGATTAATCCATCATCATAATTAATCTGATTAAAAATTTTTATGCAATTAACCCATCTGCAGCGCAGAATGACTAAAAATCCCTGAAATGTTTCTGGCAACCCATTTCGGGCAATTTTGGTGCGTTCCGTTTGCCCTGGGAACTTGTATTCCGAGTCGGATTCCGAGTTTTGAAGACGGAAGTGACGACATGCGCGCTCCCGTTTCTCGGAGATCCGAGAAATATCTCGGAGAAGCATAGAGGATCCTGAGTTCAGAATCCAATATGGCTGCGTCTTTTATCAACAGAAGGGAAAGTTGTAGTTTTATACTGTTTAAGCACTACTTCTCATTTGTGGCTCATTAAATCAGTCGCACACACTATACCGTCCAATTTATCTGTGGACGTGTTGCTACGGAGTTTTATATGTAAAGCACCGAGCGTAATGTGTTATCAACTGATATTGCTAACAATGGCAATTAAACGGACTAGAATTGGATTTCATGATTAGTCGGATTATTTGTCAGATTTACCGTAGTTTGGGCTAATTGTAAGCGAACGAAGATAAAGACCATTTAAACTGAGGTACCTTAAATATGACAAGTTGTCCGGCTAAGCAAAAAATCTCGCTTTTTGATATGGGTCCATGGTATTGCACTTCTGTGGCAGATGGATTGCATCCGACTCATATTCAAGATGGTCAATAAACATGTTAACTGCATATATATTCCCTTTTTTCTTGAGTCTGTTTGCTCATGCAAAATGAAATGCAATTAATATAGATTAAAAATGAATTATATTTAATTGTGATTAATCGAAATTAATCCACAGCAACCCCTGTGATTAATCTGATTAAAAAAAATTATCGTTTGACAGCACTAATTTATTTACATTTTTGCATCATACAGGCATGTAATTTATTCACATTATTTTTAATACTTCTAAAGGTTTCAGTTTTCAAACAGGTCTGCCCCTATGCAGTTCTGTTTTTTTCCTGCACCCACACCCCCTCCTGCAATTGCTCTGCCCCCCACAGTTTGAATATCTCTGATCTTGCTACCTTTAAGTGGGGTTGCTTCCGTTTTGGTGCTATTAATCTCAGAATTTGAATAGGTCCACATGTTTAACCTTACAATGTGTCTGTAAAGGTTGGAAAATATCTGTCAAATACTTTTTCAGTTATCACAGTAACAAGTGTCTTAGGCTGTCCTTGTTTTTGCTACCACTATGCAGCACTGCTTTCATTTTGCTGCCATTTATCTCAAAATTTGAGCACATCCATCTCTTCTCTTCATAAAATGTCTCAGCAAAGTTTGATAAAGATTTGTTGAATACCTTTTCAGTTTCCATCTTAAGAGAGTGTCTGTGGAAGTGACAACCAACTTAACAAAATACTTCAGGGGACACACTAATATTTATAGAAAATTTAAGGAACCTTTCTCTTCGATATTATTTATTATAACATTTTGCACCAGATATTTGAAGAGGAAACCTAGGTACAATGGTGAACATACATATTTTTAGTGAATTGTTTTGTGAACGCGTGAAGGTTGTAAACTGAGTTATGTGTTTTTCAGTTTTCTTGAGTGTTTTGGGTATGTAATTATTGTAAAACTTGGACTAATTTCCCTTTTTCTATTAAAGTTCATTTTTCAGCCTATATTTGATGTGCAGAATAAATTGTATGAAAGAGCCAAAGCCCCAGTATTGGATTAATGGCTGGAAGCTGGACAGATGAATGGATGGATAGATAGAAAAAGAGATTTACAGCTAAATATTGAGTAATATTCTGCATGAAACAGTAGAACCATCCATCAGTTTCAGCCGACATGTCATACCTCAGCAGCTTACAGGTGACCAAACTTTTAGTGTTTTAGTATTCTATGAAATTTCCCTTTGTTTTCTATTAATGTTTCAATTTTCATTTTTATTA